CACACACAAACACACACAAACACACACATACATTCTCTCTCTCTCTCTCTCTCTCTCTCTCTCTCTCTCTCTCTCTCTCTCTCCATGCAAAAAAAAAGGCCTACGTACCTTGGTCCACTATGTCGGTGCCGTGCTCCGGTTACGCCGCCACACGTCATTCTCTCTCTTTCTCTCTCTCTCTCAACCTTTTATGTTTTTGATTTTTTATAATTCTTTAACACGACATTTTTCCAAAAAACAAAATATGGGGTCGCAGGGATTAAAAATCCCTACAACCCCATATTTGTTTTTTTTTTGGCTTATTAAATAAATTAGGAAAAATACGGTCAATTCACGTCCGCGGCACGGACCAGGCCAGCCGCGGACGCGGCCATATATGTGGCCGCCCTCCGAGCTCGACCCCGCGGACGCGTCCGTGGGTGTTTCGTAGGCAACAGGTTATAAAGGAAAAACTCTACTACTGTGACCATACTCTGGCTTACGCCTGTGATGGAAACCGGGGACCGAGTCCCACTAGCAGCGTCGAGTTTCCCCAATGCCTGAATCTGGACATGATTGAGAATATGTGCGGAAATGGCATTGAGTATCCTCAACCGCACATCTCCACAAACACGCCTAGATTTAGGCGTAGAGGAAACTCAACGCTGCAAGTGGAACTTGGCCCCGGGTCCAGCATCCCATCCCTATCCCTCAGCACATATTTTCCGACCTTAAACTTGAAGCACAATGCTCAAGAGAATCCTAGAGATAATCGGATATCAACAGTCAGAAGGAGATTGAAGTTTGATGGAGCATAGATTATCGTCAACGTAGATAACAGTCATGACATAAGAAGAACCGAGATCGGGCCCAGTGCCCCAAATCTTTCCCACTATATGAGAGTTTGGGGCTCCCCACACAGACTTTCGAAACCCGAAAAATCGACGTCGTGTCTTCGCCACACAGCCTTTCGAAACAAGTTCTTTCGAAAAAGTTTCGAAAGGTTTCAGATTGGCCGGTATCGAAAGTCATTTGGAAGACATGAGATCCTCTCGCCTGTCACGAGCGTTTCCTCGAAAGACCTCGAGTGGTCTTGTGAAAAGGCCCACTCGAAACGGTAGATTGGCAAAAAAGAAAAGAGAAAAAAGGGGCGTTTCCACACGCAAACACACACACACACACACAAACAGCCATTTCGTCAAAACGGACATATTATATTTTTTGAACGAAATCAAAACTGACTTTTTTTGCCAAAATCCGGTCGGAATTTTTTGATCCTAGGGGTCCGGCGTTCCCAAAACGCCGGACCCCCCTGCTCTATGGTTGAGACCAGATACTTTTTTTTTTTTTTTTTTTTTACTTTTTTTTTTTGTATCTGGTCTCAACCATAGACCAGGGGGGTCCGGCGTTTTGGGAACGCCGGACCCCCA